CCGAATTCTCATCATTTCAAAAACATTCACCAAATTCAAAACCATCCAAACATAAACCCGTTTAACGACCTGCGTAGACTTCCCTTTCCACTATTATAACCTTGCCCAACAATACGCTCCCCCTCCTTCCCGTAATCACAACTGCGGCCCTCTTTCGAAGAGTGCGAGCGGACGGCTGACCCTGATTTAAATTGTCTGCTGTCAGTGATGTGAATGACTGGGATGAAGGCAACGATAATTCAAATTCCAAGAAAAACGAAGAAAAAATGTAAAAAAAATCGCTATGGAACAGGCAAAAACGCCTTCAAGTTAGGGTCATTTTAGCACTTACCATGCTCCTGATCATGAGACGGCCAGAATTCACAGAAATGGAACTGAAACGAGCCCGTGAAGAGCGCCGCGAACGCCGGGGTATTCGAGGAATGCTTCGCTCTATTCGCGCATTCAGTGACAAGTCCAGCGGTTCCGGTGATGGCGAGGTTTGTCTTTTCCATGGGGAAATTTATTTCGGGCTGAAAATGAGAGTTGAAGGGGTCTGTCATATTGCACCAGAGTTAAAATTATCTTCAGTTTTGTAGGGTGAGACAGACACCTATGGAGGGTAGGGACTGCAAGCTGAATGAAAATATAATTGTCACTAATCCCAAATTACTTCCTTTTATAAGCTCTGGTTTAGAATTTCATTCATATCAAATAATCCTTACCTCTTCTGAGATGAGGCTATGGTGTTCACATCCTGGGATTCAGCTTAAACCCTAAAGGTTATTGGTTACCCTAACCTAATGTGACAGACTGCAACATCCCCCAAGACATATTGTTATTTCAGTAGAAAGATTTCCCTTTCCAGGTCGAGCAGCAATCTCAAGCACATCATGGAAATGAGGAGGTTTGCGGATCTCTAAGCCTTTTGTGGAACTAGATGAACTGTTTGATCAATGGTTCCGTATTTAGTCTGCAGCTGGAAGTGCTGACGACAGATCAGGTCTGTCCAAAGAGGCTACACAGGCGATTGAAGCAATCGAGTACATCACACGCCATCTAACAAGAGACAATGACTATAAAAGGGTTTGTTATCCTTAACCTTTCACCTGTTCTCTCAATTATATCTATTTTGTCGGCGTGGCCCCCAAAAACAAGGAGGGGGGGGGGGGGGGGGGGGGGGGGGGGGGGGGGGGGGGGGGGGGGGGCGCGGGGGGGGGGGGGGGGGGGCTGTCACGGGTCCCTCACGGACGAGGCCAAAGCTGGGTATAGCTTAGCTGTTTGCAGTAGCTTTCCTATCTCTATTTCCTCAGTGCGTTTATGACAGCAGCGTTCCTCTCACACATGAAATGAAGAGTGTATTGAAAAAGATAACTGCGCTTGACAGAGATTATGGGTGCAGCTCTGCACAGAATCGGTTTTACACGGGGTCTGCGGTCGGCCATTCGTGGCAGGATCACAAAGCGAAAACCAAGATTCATAATCGCGCTGGTGTACTTGGAGTACGGCGCTGGCTTGGCTAAAAATCCCAAGATAGAAAGCGAAAGCCCAGAGACTGAGCCTAGAAAAAAAGGGAGATCTGGGATGGGGTAAGCTAGTAAGCAAAAGTTCGAATTTGTGAAATTACGGTAGTCATGTGCAGCTGTTTGGTCCATGTCATTGTTTACGAATCGCTGGGTTCGAGCGTTGCGCCAGCGAATCGAACGTTGCACCAGCGAATCGAACTTCGCGCCAGCGAATCGACGAGCACCATCGTTTGAACGATTATATAGAATACCGACAATAGTCCAGGCAGGGTGAATATCGGTCGAGGAAATCCTCGACAGGGGGGTCGTACCTGTTGGGCTGGTCCATGGGGGGTCGTACTCTTGGGGTCAGTAACAGAAGTGGTATCATGGTGCAGATAGGTAATAGGGTATAGCGCAGCAGAAAATGAAAACATCCGAAAAAAAACATGATATTAAATTTTCTTGCAGGTTCAGTCGCTCCATTCCTCCACCTTCATGAGAAGGGCGTATTTGAAGGCAGTACACATGTGCGCACGCGCTGCAAAGGCACCTCCTCTGCCTATCGCTCGCTCCTTCTCCCTTAATACCTCGCTGAGAATGACGCTGTTGTTAGGGACCCTGTCGGAAAAACGACAACCGTGAAGAAAAAGCGCTGGGCAAATGAAGTTGTTTTTTAGGTTACAGGAATAGCACAACACACTATGTCTACTACAATACAGTTTCGTTCGAAGGTCCCCATCATATAACACTTTCAATCGATTCTGCAACTGTGAGTGGAGGAGGGATGCATGGCTTATACCAATACCAAATCGGATGATGACGATTGCTCCTATTCTTATTGTTTGCGTTCAAAGATATTGTTCTAGACACATTCCGAGTGTTGCCAACGAGTCACACTTGCAATGGTGAATGAGGGAGCGGATTTCCAGGTGGCCGGATCCGACCTCGATAGATCCTCGACGCAATTATCTCTTCAACCAAAAAGCTGTAGAAGAAAACTAAACAGACCATCAGGAAGCGCAAACCTTCCGCTTTCCAAAACTATCTTCCCTTTTTTACAATCTTACAATATAAGAGATATATTGCTCTTGAAGTGGCAAAAACTCGCGTGAAAATTTCGGCCTCCTCGACATTTACTCGACGAAATTTGACAGACCCTATCTTTCTGCAAGGAAGGCTTCCAGAGCAATTTCGATGCTTGTTGGAAACGCGAAATCCAGCTCTATCTAACTCTACCTCAAGCTGCTTCAAAGGTTGTGAAATGGAGGAATGCAACCTTTTCATCGAGGGTGTAGATTCGGACGTTTTTTTTTGAAATTTCGGCAAATCTGACCCAGTGACAATCGCGCCGCAGCTGCCGTTGAATCGGCCTTTGATACACTCGGCTGTTTTGATATACTCAAGCAAGAATCAAGATTGAATCGCAACCCCGTGTTTCAGGATTTCTGTGCGTTTCTGAACGAACCTCGCCTTGAGGTCACACAAAGTTAATGCCTCTTTCCTCGAGTCGATATTTCAGTATGTACACAAAAGTATGCAGCGATGGAAGACGTGCATAGATGACAAGATGAAGCGTCCTTAGCATTATTTTGCAGAATTTTTTTTGATTTGTTTTGCAGGATTTATTTTAATTGAATTAATTTGCTCTGTTAGAGGGGGTCGTGCCAGGATCTCGATTTCGGGGGGGGGGTCGTACCTCTGCGACCACGTACTCGACACGATTTTCACCCTGCTCCAAGCTCAGTGGCAAGGTTCCTTGAGGTTGGCATTCACTACTGTTGGCGTCGTGTACTCTACTATATTCTATTTTCTTTATCGGTCCGATTTTGCTGACGCAACGCTCGGATCCAGCGGATTCGCTAGCGAATCGCTCGATTCGCAAACCATGACATCGGCCTTTAGGTGTCAGAGCGCAGGCGAGAACATCAAAGTGAGGCGATTTGAAGGACCAAGCTAAAGCAGTCCGTAGGCCCAGCAGCAACTGGTCGAGGATGGGTTTCCAAAGCTCTGCTCTCTGGACGCATCTCCCTATTCCTCACCCATAAGGACAGCGTCAGTAGACGGAAGTCCAATGGTGACGAATAGGGTGGGTACTGCTGCTATGGCCCAATTTAGTAGGCAAGGAGCGCGTTCCTTAAGCAGCGGGCCCGTTCTGTTCATAAACATGGATTATAGAAATCGTCAGCCTATAGTTTCTTTAAGCCTCTGTTTGGTTCTGTATCAGAGCTGTATTCCGAACACACTTATATTGTGCACGTGTACTCTGACAGAGTCATTCTGTATGAAGGTAGAACACGTGGCGCATTTCTAAAAGGGTCAATCAGCACCAAATGCTTTATCCTTCATTTCTGAACGTCAGTTCTCCCCTCCCTCGCCCCCCCCCCCTTCAGTTGTTTGTGCTTCGAAATTTCATGCCAATCGCTTGACCATTATTAAGCCTCACCCAAACCGTTCCTTACAGTGTTAAATAGTCCTGCTGCCAACATTCTCCTGATTGAAAAACTTTTCAGCAATGTGACGAGTGGAAATTCGTATCGATGGTACTAGATCGCCTTCTGCTCTACATATTCTTTGCAGGTTCGTAAAATCAGTGCGAACGAACAAGCCCTTTATAAAGCCATCAGCCTAACCAGGAACGTCTCACAGCTTGTGGAATTTGTTTTCAATATCGTTTTTCGCATATTACTAGAGCATCCTAAAGGGATCTGTCATGAAAAAGTGATACAATGAAAAAAGTAGAGCTGATGAATGACGCGCTATTCAATAAGAAGCCAAGGAGAATGGCCAACCATAAGAGATCACAAATAGGGTCCTCATTTAGTCCAGTCATTCGGTGTTGGGGCGAGTTTGTTCTCAAGACAGTGACTATTTGGGTGAATTTGATTTCTGACCCTGAAGTGGAGGTGATGATAGAGATGATGCAAGAAGTTGGTACACACCCTTCTCTTAAAGGCAATCCCCGGGATAAAACTGGTGATAAAGCGCTTCGTTGTGAAGCCTGAGCTGCGAAACGACCTGAAATTGGAAAGGAAGCAAGAGAAATTTTTGGGAACGCTAAAACTAAGACCTTAAAGCGAAGGATTATGATAAGATTGGACTGGGTTCATGGTGGATGCTGAATAATGCCCCAGTGGCGAAAAAAGCAAAGAAATCCGTCAAGAACGCGCAAAATGGGACCCCTTTCTTTGCCCGTTGACCTCCGATAATGGACGAGCTAGCAACCAACTAAGAGGTCTTTTGCACATGTTAAACCGATAGCCACCATCATACCAGCAAAGGCCATGCTTTGATTGGTAACGCGTTCCATGGGAAAGTTATAGGATACGCACTCAAAGCGGAATACCTCATCAAAATGATAATCGAAGGACGCTGCTGCTGGGGGCGGAGCACAGGCCGTGGCGGAGCTCAGAAAGGAATGGCAAGCCCAGTACGCTGCAGCTAGCGCACCTTTGGCCACAAAAACGCCAACATTTCGTTTCCTTTGGCCCCTGACTACTGCTTCCACTGGTGCATGTACTTCCACGCTGCACACACACTTTATCGTAATCTCTCGCTTTAAGCTCTTAACGCAGGAATAAGACTGCAGATGAACGAACCCACTACACTTCTACTTCACAAAGGGCACTGACGGTTGTTTTGGGACTATCTTCGAACATGGTGAATAACAGGTCGAGGAATTCCCCGACCACAGCTCCGTACTGTGTTAGAGTAGTGTCGAGAGTGAATGCACGCGCGGAGAGCACAGACTGGCTCGCGCTTATAGAGTGAATGCCCACTCGGGAGAGCGTGAATGAACAAACAGCGAAAATGTTCGACGGGTCGTCGACGAGTCCTCGATCGATTCTCACCCTCGCAGGGCCTTCTACCATTGCCGCCAAATCGCGCTTAAAATTGCTATGCCTCTCAGCAATCGCATCCACTGCCTTTGAGGAATAATTCCAGAATAAGAGACCCCGAGAAATGCCCATTCTGAATTTGTTTGTTATCCTACTTGGTCATCCATGCGTCTGGGTACGTCCAAGCGAAGATAGCTTAAAATGATGAGCGTTTCGCCGCATTCCGTCTTTTTAAGATGGTTGAATCGCTGAAGCCTTCGAGGGTCAGAAACCGCTTTAAATCCTGTCCCATGAATAATGTATAAATGAATGCTCATTGAAATGCCTCAAGATTCTGGGCGGAAGTCAAGTGCACGCGACATTCTGGAAAGTAAGTTATCAACAGCAGCAATCTCAGCTCGGTCAATGAGGTCAAATAGCCTTGCGGTTTTGGGGTAGCTTGTAGATGCTAGCGCTACAGTGTAGTCCTTGGATGATCCTATGAATTGCCAAGCGGAATCGCTTACTGCGCACTCAGCCTAGAGTCAGATCATAGATCGAACCAAAGCTTCCATCCCGCTGCCTTAGTCCTTTGATACATATCACGGTAGAAATACTGATCCCCGTTAGCCATTGTAGAGGCAAATCGTATTCAGGTACCGTTATGATTCTGAATTCAATATAACTTCGTATAATAACAGGCACGGACTTCCTGCTCGAAAACATCATATAAAGGGCGGAAGTGGTGTAGTGACAAGTGGCGCGCTTACCACGCGAG